TTTGATGGAATACTTAACATATTGGTTCCCAACAATGCTAGAAGTCATAAAAAGTGCAAAGACTGTTCTGTCAGTGGTTGAGCATCAATGCAATTTGGCACCATAGAAAGTATAAAATATGGATAGAGGTAATTATATTTGGATAAAAAGGGCTAATCAGCTAATTGTAGTTTGTATGGTTTTCATCCATAAGCTGTATAGGGGAACACACACATTTGCTAGTTAGCTAAGGGACGTACAACACTCAACAAAACCAAAGCAGAAACTTCTTGGATGGTCTGTATCTCACAGCAAGGCATAATATTAGATTACTCAATAAAACGTTAAAGACAATGGAAAGGTCGAGTGTAATGACCCAAAGTATTTAAAGCAAGGCCTGCCTCCACCTGCCTAATTTGGGACACCTGTCAAATTGGCCATGCCTAAAATGCCCCACTTAGTTATTATAGAGCTGTGAAATTTGACATTTTATCATACAAGTCTGTGCCGATTGACTTGCTTTTGCAGTCTCAAGTGACCATTAAAGAAAATGCATTTAAAAAATAAATAAATCTCCTGAGGCCTGAGGTTTTTCCTTGTCTGTCACCAAAATTGCACTCAGAAAAAGCTAAATGAGTGGTGGATTGGAGATGCAGCCATTTGGAAACGATCCTTTGTTGAGCGAGAGCTGAAAACTTGAGCTGATAAATGCTGGAGGAAAGTTCAGAGGCTTTTCAAATGACTGGTTAAAGGAAGAAGCTGTCGATGTCTTATGTAAAGTCTTAAAACAATCAACACCAATCAGTGTGGTCTTTTTAAATGATCACACAGACACACACGCTCATTTAAGGTTTTTGTTTTTTCTTTTATTCTCTGAAGCATCAAAATGAACATTTAAAAAAAAGCAAAGTAATCTTTGGGCTGAAATTAAACTTGTTATAAATATTTTCTTGTGTTATTTTGTTACGTTTGCTCGTTTTGTTTCCTCCTTTCACGGTCTCTGTTTTTAATCTAAACCCTGCTTTGTGTGTGTTTGGCTATCTGTTGCTTTCTTTCTGTCTACGTGCTTGGCTGGATTTGATCTGAATCTGTGAATGGTTGTTTGTGTTCGTGTGTTAGCTGACTCTGGAGCTGGCCCAGCAGCATGGCGGCGCTCTGTCTCTGTCTCCCCCTCCGTCCATGTTGTCTGAACATCAGCTGAGCTTGTGGAAACACGGAGCCAGGAGAAGGGGACATGTGTGTATCATTTGACACTTCCTGTTAAGCTTCAGGTTTGGGCTGCAAGGTCACAGGTCACAGTAGCCCCTAAGGTTATGTGGACACTGGGGGGCAATATAAGTACAAATTTGCATGTATTTCATGCATTTCTTCTTTCTCCAACAAGTGGTACTAAAAACGGTGTGAGGAAAAAGAACACTATGTTGTGAGGAGCTGTTCACGTCATTGAGTGATGTAGAAATTGTTACTGATCAAAAGCTTTTGAAGGTTTTGGTAAATAATTTGTAAGCAATAAAGAGAATCATAGAATATGGTCTCTGTTCTGAGACAAGACTCGTCATGCTTGTTTGAACATGAGTCTGTTTTTGGATCAATCCGAATGACACATCCATTTAATGCCATTTCAGCAGCAGAAAAACAGAATGTACCCTCAATAATCCTCAAAGTACGTAAGCAAAAATCATGAAAACAGGACATGAGCAAAGACCTCTCCTTGGCGCTTTGTCTAACCTTCAAGGTTTTCATAGAAATCACTTTTTATTTAATATGCTAAGAAATTGGTGGACTAAAAAAAAATGAAGGTCAGGATTGTATTTACCTGTGCAATCATGGATATAAAGATGTGTCATCCTTTTGCAGAAAATGGGATTTTGTTTTTTAGGCTAAAGTACACTTTGCTGGTACCTGATCAAATTAGATTTTTTTTTGAAACTTTTAAATAATAAAACAAATTTCCTATCTGTTCTGAAA